GTTATGACCAGGGCTCGGAATACAGGCATCCGGTAGTTCGGGCGCGGCGCGCACAACGCTCCATCTAGCACACACCAGGCCGTCTTGCCGCATCTTAGACCCCGGATCCACAGCACTTGCACCGCACTAGGTTTTACCCGCACAAGGCAAGTTGTGGGCTTGTGGTACATTCTACTTTGGGACAGTCCACCAAGACATCATGCAGTTGGCTTTCATGCTGAGAAGCGGAATCCTGTAGTAAGAAATTGCGCACCGAGTCGAGCCGTTGAAGTCGCCATCTGTGATGAAGACACTTCGGTGGCAAGGCGTGCCCCGAGACAAGGTGGCAGGTGGCAGGTGGCAGGTGGCAGGTGGCAGGTGGCCTTGAACCTTGGTCAACACGTCTAGTCAGGATCATGGGGGTTGATTTGCATTTTGCGGACTTGATCGTTAACCTGTAGGCAGGCCACAGGACCTCGAACATGACCATATTCGGGGTTCCATCGAGACGTCCCAAGAGCCTGCTACCTATGATGTTCCGGATACCGATTCAGAGACACACACAGTGGCGCCCTTTCGCCAAGCACCTTGTGTCTGTCGCTGCCGCAACCTGGTCTCCTCTCAGCTGATCGACACTCCCTGTTGAGGGCGGGAAGCATTCATCCGGGAAGGAGGATGCGCCCTGCAGACCAAGACAGTACTTCCGGAGGACGCAGCAAAGTCTCGAGCTAGCAACACTCAGAATCCGGGCAGTTGCGGCCCCCAATTGCCCACCTTGACCCCTCAGTCATTCTAATTCGGCCCTACCATGACCAGGGTGCTTTTTGCAGCGCGACCTTGAACAGTAACGACAAGAGGCTGTTATCAACAAGGTGCTTTCGCATCCATCCTGCGTGCGGTTCCTCGGTGGGGCATCACACAGGCAATTACTAGATGAATCCGCCAAAACCAAACGTTTCCGAACTTGGTATACCATGTTGTGGTATAGATGCCTCCAATTCCAGGATAGCCGACGGCCCTATGGCCTGGTTGCGGTGCGTCGGGTTCTCTTCGCCACAGTCGTTCAGCGGTAACGGACGGGCGGCACCTCCTGGTTGGACTTGCCCCCGGCAACGTCCAGCTGGCTTGTTGGGGCTAATTGATTTCATCGGATGAACAGGCCGCGAGAGGCTGCCAATCCCGAACAACGCTGATTTTGTATTTCGTTTCTCTTCTTTTGACGGTAGAGCGGAACGGCCTGCCTAATGCAGACAATAACATGGCTTGCTATGGACGTTCCATGGTTGACAAATACGGATACACCAGGCGCCTATCCAAGGGCACTCCTAGACGGTCATCTTATCTCCTCAACCAGCATGTCACTAGGCCTTCCATTTCTGCGGATCCTCTGCCCCCGTTTGTGCCCGATTTGGCAACTTTGGCTACTAGAAGAGGTAATTTTTACTATTAACTATTTAATAGAGGCCTAGAGTACCAAAACGGCGAGCCGAAATAGGACACCAGTTTGATGCTGATTCAAAAAAAACCTGCAGTTAGCGGCCCAAATAATGAAGAAATGCCGGAATAGTGTCCAATGACTGGCGGGCTCCTTCCTTGTTACCCGCAAGGGTGATGATAGCGAATTTCGACCAACCGGCACATCCTTTGGGGCCTGAGATTGTGTATCTCGTTACGCCTTCAGACTACAGAGCCGCCGGCAACTAGCTCGCTCGGGCTTCGTGTCTGAAGCACTAAAAGTATGCAACCTCGACTTGGTAACATGGCATGCGTACCAAACGCTTAATGGCTTGCGGGGTGTGTTTTGTCAACAGTATAGCGTGGAAACCGACGTGGCTAGGACGCTTGGCACCCGGTCAAAGATTGGCTAGACAGGGCCTAGAGGGAGCGCGGAAACGCAACTCTGACCCTAGTTGGTGCCGCAGCCTCGTGTTGTCTCTTACTCTTTTCCATCCCTTCCGCAATGTGACACAAACGACTCAGATTTGGCTTCAAGGCGGCACGAGGTATTCGCAACCTTTGCCTCAGTTGAGTCTGAACAAAACACAAAAAAATGCCTTGGCTTTCCGCTGTGGCTGACCAAGTGGAGCGGGCGTGTCTTTACTAGTCCAATATCTATGGGTTCGCAACGTAAATGCGTCAGACGGGTTGAAGTAAAGACTTGCTGCCATACAAGAAACCCCCTGGTTATTCGACGATCTCCTCCTGGACACGGCTAACTATGAGACGAGAAAACCACTCTTCTCTCACGGCGTGACTGAAACCGGGAGCCATGCATCAACGTTGCTGACTGACGGCTGACGGCTGGCGTAAATAATCAACAAAGGCCCGGATACGATATGGCTTCTGTCAACTCAACAGAAAGGTCACCTCATCAAAAGAAAACGGTTGGTCGTACCTCGAGACACCAAACCGATGTTCAAAGAGAATCCTCCATCACTACGATACAATACCCAATGACACCGTACATACTGCGTTGCAGAATAACAGTGCCGGCTCGTCATATCCCGCATTCCTCGGGCAAGCTTTTGCCTACCACCCGTTTCTTTTCCTCCCCCCCCCCCCCCCCCCCCCCCCTTTTTTTTTTTTCCTTTTCCTTTCCTTCTTTTTATAGAAAAAAACACCAAGACGAATCGCTCAGATTTGACCAAGGACACAGGTACCAATACTTCTTCAGAGAAGTCTGATGAGGGGCCACTGAGTATATTCTGAACCAGGGGGCCAGCCTCGGTGGGCTGAAGTTTGTGATCTGTCACTTGGCTTTGGTGGTATTGGGGTCTTAAAGCCTGAACTCCGGTGTCATTGCTTACACCAAGGCCTGTGGCCGAGGCCTATGCGATCAAAGTCACAGTTGCAGTCGAAGTGGCAACTTGGTCATCGTGCCGCATCTTACGGGAGGGGCATCCGATGTGCGAGTTTTTGGTATGGTTGCATGTTGATATGTGGCGGCATAAGATATCACCCCTTGACGCTGTGTCGACGCCTTCTTACGCTTCCTTTCCATTACTGCTGTGTGTCTCGAACGCTTTCTCCTGTACCAGGGTTACAATACATCCCACACCTTGGGTCATATACGGAGCATGGTCTGGGGTAATGAATGAAAAGATCTGCGGAAACAGCAGGAGCCCCTTATAGAGGCTGGTTCAAACGCTACTTTCAACAAACCGGATGGTGAGATATCATACCGACACAAACATGCAAGCTAGTCACATCCATCGACTCTTTGAAAGTTCCGGGCATCTCACTGCCTCCGTCGTATAAGATCGGCCGGCCTCTCAGAAGACTACCAAGACCGGCTTCCGAGGCAGTAGACTGGATTACTAACCATTATATGGCGGTTGAGGACAAACTAACCTTTGAAGACGTAGTGCTCGAGAGCTCGAGAGTTCAATCGAGAACGTGGTCAACCCGGTCCGTGGCTTGGCAGATCCCAAGGGACCGGACGGAGCCCCGAATTCCTCTAGCACGGCCCCGGGGGGACAAACCCGCATTAGAACCGTCTGATCTGACGAGAAATGCTACTCTGTGACCCCGAGCGTCCAATCGCAACAGGGCATCGACGAAATCATGAAGCCTCCTACTATTGCAGGGCTACCGGCTTTGGATCCCTTACGGGGGAGTTCATACAGGATACTCCCCGCGAAAATGCTATACGAGAACGGACTATGTTCGTATGACCGCCTGCTTTCGACACCGCGATCAGACCGAGTTGGCATCCTTTCAACCCAGCTGCGCACGTCCGCTGGCGCGACGGCACGGCCTGGCCACCCCCAACGGGCGCGAGGCCATCGAGGTAGGGGTAGGCTGCCCCTTCTCAGATCCGGAAGACACCTCGCGATTGGGTTATGACTCTCCCCCTGCTATGCGGGCTAGGACAACGAGAAACGTGGAGAAACGGATGAATTACTCTACCATGGTAGTTGCTTCCATTCGCTGGTTGAACACACAAAGTTTGCCGGACAAACTTGGCAGTCTGCCGCACCATGTTCCAGAACGGGCGCATATACCGCGTTATCGGACTTGACGGACATCAGGAAGTCCACTCGCTCTCCTTGGCCAGTGAATGTCCGCAACTTACAGCCCTTATTCAATGGCAAAAAGGAGGGGGTGTGAGACTGGTCAGCCATTGCAGGCACGAGCCAACCCGTGGGGGAGGGGGGAGGCAAGAAGCGATTCGCCAGTAAGAATATTTCGCTGTATATCATCCTATGTAGGTTATGCAGAAGGGCACAAGGTTAGAGCCGACAGGAAGGTAAATATGTGAAGAGGAGCCGTTGGGCCCATAAAGAGAGGGGTCGACCATCTCTGACCGTCGATGAGTAACTCCCCGGGCTTGGGGATGGTGCCGGCGTGCCGCTAAGCCTTGCTGTCGCTCCATTCTCCGTTCGCAAAGAAGAAGGCTGCGATTCCCCTCTTCGGTTCGGATCGTGCAAACCATCGGCGGTCCTCCACATCCGAGTTGATCAAGGATTCGACGGCATTTGGTCCAAGGTTCCTCGACGGCCACCCTTCGTTTCAAGCACTGATCAGCCACCTGCTATTAGTGGTGGGGGGCAGTCGACGACCAATGAACAAAGGTCACGTGCTGGGTCACGTGAATCATGTACCGTGCACGCGCCCAGACTCTAGGGGTCCAGGCCGGGGCCTTAAGGGATGAAGGGAAAGTTTCAGTCGTGGTGTCAATGGCCACATTGCTTGAGAGAATGAGTTGTTGATGCTCGAACCGTACCATGAGCGGAAGCTGTGAAGCGTCACCGGTAACATACAATACTGCGTGCATTAAAGTCGTTCGTTGAAAACGACCCCCCCGGGGACCGCATCTCATACCAAGATCCCACTACTTATTTTGTCTTACAAACAAGGGAGCGAGCGACATCGCGCCAAAAGCCGTAGAGAAAGGCAGGAAAAAACTCACATGACACTGATACACCGCAATCGATAGTAATTCCGAGCCACTGGAGAAGCTTCTACCCCTATAAGCCCGCGATACATGGGACAGGAGAAAGTCGTTTGAGAAAGTTGTAATGGAGGCAAACCTGTCGGCGTCTGCCTTGGGCGGCGAGCCAGCCCGCCTGGGCTTCGGCTTCTTCCTCCTGCCCTTCGCCACCTTCATCTGCTTCCTGGTCCCGGTTCTCTACCTGTTCCCCCCGATCCCGGCCACGATCAGCGACGCACTGCTGGCAACGCACAAGAAAATCGGCCTGGCCCCGTCCAAGAGCAACCTCCGGGACCAGCAGCAGCAGAAGGAGAAGGATAGGACGGGGGCCGACGCCGTGAGGGTCAAGGCGCTCTGCGTGTACCCCATCAAGTCGTGCCGCGGCATCGAGGTTGCGCGGAGCAAGCTCCTCCCCACGGGTCTCGAATTCGACAGGCTGTACACCCTGGCGCAGCTCAAGTCCCCGTTCCCAGTGTCCGTCGACGGCGCCGCCGGGGATGGCCGGGACGCGCACGCGTGGGAGTTCATCACGCAGCGGCAGTTCCCCCAGCTGGCGACGATCAAGGTGGACGTCTTCGTCCCGGACGCGACCAAGAGCACCGTGTTCCTCGAGAAGAGCGGCGACCCGTGGATCGTGCTGCGCTTCCCCTGGCGCGAGCCTGGGTGGCGCGGGACTATGCAGTGGGCCGCGGCCAAGATCCGGAACGGGTGGCGCGGGGAGCCCGAGATGGAAGTGCTGCTGCCGGTCGAGTTCCCCACCGAGAAGGAGATCGAGGAGCGCGGGTACACGCGCGAGGACGTCAGGGTGTGGAAGGAGATGGTCCCCGCGCTGAACATGGGCAAGGAAATCCCCCAGGAGCTGTGCCGGTATCTGGGCGTGAGCAACAAGCTGACGCTGTTCCGGGTCGACCCGAGGAAGCTGAGGGAGGTGCACCGGTGTGCGCCAACCAAGGAGGAGGCGGGGTACCAGCCCGTCGTCGGTTTCCAGGACGCCGTGAGTTCCCTTCCCTAGTCGACGTGTCTGTGCCAGCAACGCGAAGCCTTTCCGAAGAATGAGAGCGAGAGGGGATAGAGGGAGCCGAGCTAACGACGGAGCCGGATGAACAGTATCCCCTGCACCTCGTGAACATGAGCAGTCTCCACGACTTCGACGCGCAGGTGCCCAAGGACAAAGACCTCCAGCACCTCGACGTCAGGAGGTTTCGGTCCAACATTATCGGTAAGGCAGTCCTCCATTCTACGTCCCCTCTTCCCGAAAGGGGGACGACTCCTTTGGAATCCGTCGGCCTGGCTAACGAGGCTGGACAGTCTCCGGTGCCCCGGCATACGACGAAGAGTCGTGGAAGTCGGTCAAGTTCGCCCAGGGCGCGTCCAACGTCACCACGCCTTCAAAGTTCCAGGTCTCGTGCCGCACAGTTCGGTAAGCCCCCCCCCCCCCCCCCCCCCTCTTCGCCTCGCCCCCTGTTTTTCAAATCCGTCAGGCGTTTGTAGAGAATGGGTGGGGTTTTCTTCTTCTTCTTCGTGCAAGGACCGACCGTCTTTCATTCTAGTGATATCAAACTGACTCCCCCCAACAGTTGCAAAATGCCCAACGTCGACCAGGTCACCGGCGTCTGCCACGGCGTGGAGCCGGACAGGTCCCTCCGCAAGCTCCGCGAAGTCGACGAGGGCGCCCCGCGCATGGGGTGCCTGGGCATGCAGATGGTTCCCCTTTTCGAGGGCACCGACCGCGTCGAGTACATGCAGGCCTGGCTCGAGGTCGGCATGGCCGTTGATGTGCTGGAGCGCGGGGAGCACGTCTACATCAAGCAGTGAACTCGGTAGTGTCCGGTCCGTGGGTTGGGCAGATCACTTTGATGGCCCTGGTGTATGAGGAACGGTTACAGGTTTAGAGTGTATAGACTGAGGTAGGAAGCATACCCAATATCAGGAGAACCGATGAAGTAGGTGCGGGTATAGGATACGGGGCAAAAAAAGATCAAATCGTCATTATCACACTTGAACCACCATTAGATATCATGCCTTTACTCCCAAAGTTCCGGTTCCTTCACGCGAGAACCCATCCGAACCCGTCGCAGAAACAAAACGACTCTAAACAGTTCGTCTCAGTGGTATCCAACAAAAACGACCCTCGTCGGATGTCTCCCGCCTTTCCATGTACAGCCTAAGAAAAAGACGCTTAATGACAAGCAGAAAAGGAAGAATCCCATTATCGTCATCATCATGTCGTATTCCGGAACGACGTCTCGGTTTCACGAGACCAAGACACCACCGCCATATCAAGCCCGTATGCCAAACATGTTTACTTCAGATCAGCGGGTGTTAACGCTTGGACCATACTGGTTCCCTCGCTGAAGCGTGTCCGGAAGATTCGGTTGGCGTTCTGGAACATGCCATCTTTCAGGGACACAACGATGAACTGCGAGCCCTTGAAGCGCGTCTTGATCAGGCGACCAATGTTTTGCGTGTGTGACAGGTCCAAGGCGGCGTCGACCTCGTCAAGAATGTACATCGGCGCTGGCTTGAACTGCAGGAGAGCCATGATGAGGGAGAGTGCGATGAGGGATCTGGCCCAGTTGTGTTAGTCATCCAATCCGACATTTGAAGGGGTAGCTTCTTACCTCTGCCCACCAGAGAGCTCAGTCAAACTTTGCTTCCAAACCTTGCCCAGTGAGACCTTGACTTCAAGACCTTCGCTAATGGTCTTGCCCTCGGGAGGATCAAGCTTGGCGAAACTGCCGGGCAAAAGCTCGTTAAAGATCTGGCCAAAGTCGCCGTTGACCTTCTCCCACGTCTCTTGTAAGGCCTTCTTCTTGTAGTCATCCAAGCTTATGATAGTCTCTTCGATCTTACGCTTGTCGCGGATGACTGTCTTCATCATGTGCTTGAGCGACACCTCCTTCTTCTCGACGCTCTCAATCATGTTCATGACCTTGGGGTTGATCTTTTTCTTCATGCCCTGGAAGCGATCCGTCAAGTTGCGGAGCGTCGACTTGCACTCGCCAATGTTCTGGCCCTTGAAGTCGTACGGCGTGCCTGTACGGCCAAAGTTCTCCTTCTCGTCGGCAATCCAATCGTGCTCCTTTTCCATGTGGGCCACTGTCTGGACAGCCGACTGCTGTTCCTTGTGGAACCTCTCAACTTGGTGGCCGAGTTTCTGCATTTCGAGGCTCTCCTCGGCAATGCGAGCATTCTTGGACCGAGTGGCTTCCTCAAGTGCGTGGAGTTCGTCGTCGAACCCATGCAGCTTGGCGCGTTCGTCGTCAAGCTCGGCCTGGACACCATCGAGCGTCTCTTGGAGACTGCTCTGCTGCTTGACAAGGTCTTCGATGTCCTGCTGCTGAGCCTTGATGGCAACCTCGACTTCTTGCAACTGCTCGCGGGCCGCAGACAGGTCGGCTGCGACTTGTTCCGAGTCAAGCTGTGCGCCTTGCACCTCCTTTTGCAGGACCTTGACCGAGGCAGAGTTCTTTGTGAGGCCGGCTCGCAGCTTGTCCAAGGATTTCTGGAGCTCGACAAGCTTTGCATCCTTGTTATTGTCGAAGTCCTTCATGTCTTTCTCAATCCGTTTTACGTCAGCAGTGGCTTCGGCATGCCTCTTTTTTGCTGCCGCCGTGTCGGTCTTAAGCTGGGCAATAGTCTCCTTCATATTTTCCACCTCTTGAATGATAGACGACGACGAGTTGCCGCTGATTTGCTCCTGGGCAAGCTTGATCTCGTGGCTCTTCAGGTCGAGCTCCTGCTTGATCTTGCGTGCGTGATCGAGCTTAGACTTTTCACTCGCGATGGTGAGCTGAAGTTGGTGCAGGGAAGCCTCAGCCTCCTTGAGTTGGCGTGTGATGTCATTGAGCTTCTGCAGGGTGACAAGCACGCCACTGGAGTTAGGAGAGCTACCACCGGACAGAGTACCAGAAGGGTCATAAGCATCGCCTTCCAGGGTGATACTCCTCATCCTCACGTTGGGGTCAAAGGTGACCTTCTTCGCCGTGTCCGCATCGGCGCAGATGAGAGTGTTGCCGAAGACGTACTCCATGGCTGCAGATACCTCATGGTCGTAACCAACGAGGGACAGTGCCAGGTTGACCTTGCCCGGAGCGATTCTCTGCGCTGTGGCGACGCTCTGAGCCGAGGCCTTGAAAGCCGCGATCTTGTTCAAGGGAATAATGGTGACACGCTTGCGGAGCCTCCCCCCTTGAAGCAGCTGGGTGCCAGTGACTTCGGTATCAACCACAACATTGTAGAGACGGCCACCGGCGCAGATCTCGAGGGCGGTGCCCGCTTGAGTGTTCTCCTTGTCCAAAGTGAACAGCTGAGCAACCAAACCCTTGACCTTGGACCGATCAAAATTAGGGGTCGGGTCAGCGTAGTTAAAGTCAATGTTGGCAACTTTGCGCTTAAGCCCATCCGCCTCCTGGCGAAGGCCTCGGATATGCTGCTGCAAAGACGATTGCTTCTGGTACAGCTGCTCTTCCTGACCGGGCTCAAAGCCCAATCTACCCAGCTCCTTCTCGAGCTTCTGGGCTTGCGACTTTAGGCCTTCAAGATCCTTCAGAAGATCGGCGTTTTGTTCTTTCGCCTTCTTGGCACGCGGCTCTTCTTCCTTGATGCGCTTCTCGAGATGAGCAATCTTCATCTTCGCCTGCTCCTGCTCGGTGACGGCAGCTGTCGCACGGTTCCTGGCGTCTTGAAGCTGGCCTTGGTAACCGCTCTCTTGACCGTCCTTGGAAGCGACACCCGTCTGCAGTGTTTGCAAAAGCTCCTCCTTGGATTCGGCTTCTTGGCTTTGCTTCTCCAGATCGTCCTTGGCAGCGTCGAACCTAGCTTTGATTTCTTCAAAAGCTTGCGTCTTTTCTTGCAGTATCGCCTCCAATTCGGATACGTTCTTTTCCACAGCTGTCTTCTTTTCCTTTTCTTCGGCCATGCTCGACTTCTTCAAATCCATGACGGTAGCGAGTCTGACAAGCTCGTTGGAATGCTTCTTCACTGCGTCCTCAAGAGCTTGCGCCTTTCCACCCTTCTTCAACTCCTTGTCACGTTGTGCGCGGACTCGTTTGACGTCCTCCTCGAGATGGGAAATTTCGCTCTTCAACCGTGCCGCAGACTCCTCGAGATCTTTGCGCCGTTGCTTCTTGCCCTCCAGGTCTGCCGCAGACTGCTCCAGTTTCTCTTGGCAGCGCACATAATCGTGCGCCACCACGACCCTTGTGAGGCGCTCGAGGTCGTTTTGTGTTTGTTGGAAGTCGAGGAAAGCGCGCTTCTCTGTCCGGAGCTTCTCGAGCTTGGGCTCGATCTCGTCCCGAAGCAGTTCTGTGATTTCCTGGAGTTTCATCTCCTTCTTGGCCATCGTCTTCAACGCCTTGTCTCTCCTATCCTCGAACATACGTGTTCCTGCAGCTTCCTCGATCATGGCCAGAATCTCGACAGGCTTCATGTTCAGGACTTTCGTGATTCGACCTTGCATGATGAGGAAGTTGGGGTTGTTGATGTTGAGCTGGACAGACTGGAAGAGGTTTTGTACTGTTTGTTGCTGTGCACGGTGTCCATTGATGAGGTACTTGGACGTACCGCCGAGGACGATTTGTCGAGTCACACTTATGGTCGCATACTCTTCGAAGCCGATAGGCGACTTCTTCTTGTCTCTGTTGTCAAAAACAATCGTAACGCTCGCCTTCGTGACACCGGCCTGGCCGCGCTTGTAGATGAGGTCCTGTTGGGAGTAGCATCAGCTTCAACGTCCGCCGCAACAGCACCAGCCAAAGGTCCAGCCCATGAGGCTTCCGTACCTGGAGATTTTGCGCTCGAACTGTTGTCATGTTGGTGATGCCCAAAACGAAGCAGATGGCGTCCAGAATGTTGGACTTTCCGGAACCGTTGAGGCCAGTGATCGAGTTGAAACTTTCGTCCCTGTATTGTGTAAGCTGCCACACTCCTCTCGGCCGAAGTAATGTTTGTTTACCATCCCGAAATCACCGTTCTCACGGCATACGACTTGAAGCCCTGCAATCAGTCAGCAAAAGAAATTGCACAGCAAATTCGGATCGCATACGTCTATAATGACTTCTATGACCCTCATGCTGCAGTAGTTAGTGGTTGACGATGGTGTTGCTGAGGACTGTTGTGGGTGTCAGGGACTTTTTTGTTTACTTTCGACCGATCGCGTTTCCACTTCATCACCCCCCCTTCTTGGTTCCTGAGGTAGGTAGGGGGGTCTCCCGCCTTCCCGCCCCGATAACGCCCTTATCGGTGGCAATCAATAGCGATTTGACCACGGGGCGCGACTGTCATTGCCCCAGCCAGGGCAGCCCCACAAGAGCCTCTGATGCGCTAAGCCGAATGCGGACTCGACCAAAACAATCGGTTCGCAACGCAATTCAAACCCACGCCCGTCAACATCACCACACATCTATACAGCTTTTGTGTGCTTCCCACTTTTTACTAACCTCCCCTTGTTCTCAAGCAACCACCCTACCACATCATCGACCATCTTTTCGACCTCGATGACCAGCTAATATTTGTCTTCACCCTCAAAGCGACTCTTTTGCGCGCGTCGCGACTTACCCCTCACGATGGCGGCGATGCGAAGAACGCGTGTGCCTCCCGGCTCCGCGTCGTGGATTAATGAAGAAAGGACAACGGCTCTGAGCATAGTCCAGGCTGAGGCGGAGGAATTCTCATTCGCTGCACGGAACGAATTCGACTGGCTTAATGAGCACATGGCTGGGATCTTCAACGAGAACGAGATGCATGTCCATCCTTGCCACAAGCTCTGGGTCGATTACTAACCGGGTAAACAGCAACGTTGCCGAGATTTTCAAGACTCCTGGAAAACTTCGCAGCAAGACGCCGCGAACAACGCGAAAGGTTGACAACGGCGAGGCCCGTGTCGTAAGGCGCCTAAACCCATTGCATACCAGTCTTTCGCTAATAGTGTATAGCCATTGTCAGATGTATTCTCTTCAACGCCGAATGGCGCGACGAATGCCTTCACACAACAGCTTGCTCGTATCTCTCCCAAGTTCAACCCTGTACAATCGACATCGTCTCCTTTGATCAACAGAAATATTTCGCCGCATAAAGCTGCCCCCTCACCCCGACCGGTTTCGAAGCAGCCTGTTGCCCTAGCTGATTCCGGTTACTACGGTAGCCAGGATGTCGACAACGTAGACGATGCCGACGACGACGATATGGACGTGGACCTCATCGAGGAGGAGACGGAAATCGGAGAGCCACGATCCAGCCCCCCTAAGACAGGACGTACCGGTCACGTCGCATTCGACGTCACAGCTGAGCAAAACGTGCCTCAGAGCCCGACCGCGACGACGGCTATGCGATCACCTGAAGCCACCTTCCAGACCGCCAAAGAAGAGCAGACGACAAGAGTGATGAGAGACGCAACTGAAGAGGCTGCGACACCCGTCTCAGAAACCTCATCAGCACCTCACAGCTCACCGAAGCGTGCGGAAACTCCCCCTTCCCCAGTTGCGTCTCCTAAAACTCGCTCTGCGAAGATCGCGTCGCCTGCAAAGAATTCGCCTGCAAAGCGATCTCCGGCCAAACAGGCGTCTCCGTCGCCTTCCCCGCCCACGGGTTCTCGGTCACCCGCGCCCGAGCCCACACCCGGTGCTGATTCGCAAGATGACGATGTGGATGTCCACATGGACGACGATACGCGATCTGATGAGTCTAGTCCCATTCGACCAGTCAGGAAGAGCAGTCTCAATTTCGCTTCACTTCCCGCCAGAGAGCCCCTGAGGAATAAGAGCATCGGGGCTCGTGTTTCCAGAACCAGCCACTTGGACCTTAACCGTCAGAGTTACTACAGCAGACAAACTGGAGGCAAGAGCTTGGGAAACAATGTCGAGGTACTAGGAGCTTCGGATGACGAGGAAGGCAACGACGACGAAATGAATGTCGAGGACTCAACCGAGGCGACAAACCACGGCGACAGCTATGCCTCAGACCACAACAAAACATACACTCAAAGGCTCCAGGATCAGATCAACCTGCTCGGCAAGTCCCAGCCAAACGCAAGCAGGCCCTCGAAATCGATCCCAAGCTCTGCGGTTGCCCAACAGCTTGCCCAGGCCAGTGCGCCTCAACCTGTAACGGAGTCAAAGAAAGCATCGCCAATGAAAAAGTCAGCCGCGCCGCCAACCCCTGGAGCATTCCCCGAAGACGAGGAAGACGAGGACGAGGAAGAAGATGACTGGATTGCCCCACCCGTTCCTGCAAAGGACGCGCCCAAGTCTAGCCCACGACCACATTTGCTTAAGAGTCATACTGCAGACGTCATGGAAGGGATCAACGGCTCTGACACCGTCAGCGCTCTCGATTTTGGTTCGCCTAAACAGCGGAAATCGCCAGGTCGGTCAGGCTCACCGAAGCGTGCCCCTGTCATTCCTGAGCGCACTACCAGTGTCTTTGGTCACGGGAAATCTGCTTCTGTGTCCATCTTGCCAGATTTATCGCAGGATGTTATGGCCGAAGACTTGTCTCCTGCCAAGAAACGACTCTCTGTTTCTAACCCGCTCTCAGCGGTGCTAGAAGACGGACGCCCGGAGACTCCTCAATCGCCTACACGAGGCTTCCGTGACAGCCCGCTGAAACAAGTGAAGAACAAGCTGTCTTCTATTCTGAAGAGTTCCAAGGGCCTTCTTGCCAGCAGCGCGGCAATCAGCGCCGAGGGCAAATCGTCAATCATGTCGCCTTCCAGTGCTCGATTCGGCCATCACTCTGGCCCATCTACAGAGTCCATCGCACCCCAGCCAGCCCCGGCTGAGCCGTTGTACCCCGATCTTTCCAAGCGCCTTGCAGCCGATACACAAACACTTAGTAGTGTGGGGAGCCCTGAAAAACCCGTCGCAAGACGAACAAGGGCTTCTGTCGAGAAGGAAAAGGAGGACAAGCGCAAGGAAAAAGAAGCCAAATTGATGGCCGACCAGATGAGCAAGCTGGACAAGGCCCGCGCAGAGGAACGTGAAAAGGCTCGAACTTTCAGCAAAGAGCAAGAGAGGATTGCTGCCATGGAGAAGATGGTTGCAGCACAAAAGGAGATGGAGCCCGAAATGGAGCAGGACAAGGAGATGGAGAGACCTGCTCGAACACCGGCGCCAAAGGAGGCGCTTAAGCCCACCAGAACCAGCCCCCGCAAGGCCAAGAACCAGGGCGAGGCCGACGCTTCGGCGCAGGCTTCCCAGTCAGAGAAGCCGGACGTGGAAATGACGGAAGCGCCGACCCCGATGCCGCCGCCGTCGGCCCCTCGCTCTGTCGGCCCGAGTCAGACGGCAAGACCCAGAGAGCTCCGCCGGCCGATGAAACCCACGAAGGAGGCACCTAGCAAGGTCAAGCAAGCGCCTACCGTCATTCGCGTTAACACCGGCTCGCAACACTCGCAGTACCACCCCTCAACCAGTACTCTGTCCTCCGGCCTCCAAGACACACTGGGCTCGTCGGTTAAGTCCAAGACCAGCCAGCCAGGCTCGCATAGCAAACAGTCTCTGGCCAGCTTGAAGAGCTCTGTTTCTTCCACCGGCCGCCCTAAAGCGCTCGAACTCGCCGCTAAGCGGAAGGAACAAGAGGAGCGCGAAGCGCAAAGAAAGAAGGACGCCAAAGTGGAACTTGAACGCAAGCGCGCTGCTATCCAGGAGGAGGAGCGCAAGCAGGAAGTGCAGAGGCGACAAGAAGCGGAGAGGCAGAGAGAGAGGGAAAGGGAGCAAGCTGAGGCGAAGAAGAACGCACAAAGGCAGGCCGCTATCGAACGTGCCAAGCAGACGCGAGCACCGCCCCCTGCTGTGCGATCTCAGCCGAATGGTCCTCCTGACTACACTGCGGGCCAACGCAGCGATGCCCAGCCTCCTCGTCCCCCTTCTCGTATGAACTCTACTGCCCATCGTTCTCAAGAGGACCGACCGGTCAACGCCATTCTCTCAAATGCCTCCAAGCCTGGCTCCAAGAGGCCTCTTCCGCAGGACGGCAGGGAGGAGACGGGCTCGCGCAACCCTGCTCCCCGCAACGTTCCGTCGTACCAGTCCAATGATGCCAAGCGTCGTCGCACGAGCGACGACTTTGCTGATGAGCTTGATATGGACATTCAGCCTCCCAACATCAAGGGACCCCCTGTTCGCCCGCCATCAGTTGGCTTCAAGAAGGTATGTCGCTTAGTGGATGGGCCGCTTGTTGCAGAGACTAACACGAATCAGCAGGAGATGCCCACCAAGTCAATGTTCGGCTACACCAACGCACCGCCGAGTGCATCCAGGGACTTGTTCAAGTCTACTGTTACCGCTCAACATCACAGCATAACCAAGTCGGTCAAGCAAGTAGATATGAACCAGTTTGCCCAAGGGCACATCCCGTTTGCCCCCAACCCCAACCCCGCTGGCCCCGCGCACAAGACACCGGCACGTCCCATGGGTACTGCGAGCACCAAGTCCACTGCCAAAGCCACAAGATCGTCGCCTCGTTTCCAGGACGGTGAGAAGATCGAACTGCCTGAAATCGACACGGACGAAGACGAGGACGATGGGGACGCTCAAATCGGCGTGGCGCCTTGGGCCGATTCTCCCCAGTTGAGAAGCGCGCTCGTGCGACAGGAGACTTTGAATCCCGAATTGATTTTCGGACCTCCGCGTGCCCTCCACATGGAGGAGGTATTTAGCAACAAGGAGAGGTGGCACAAGTTCCGCGCGCGGACGTCGAGCGCCAACTGGAGTGGGTCTGATCGTCTGACAGAAGACGAGATCAGAAAGGATCTTGCAGCTCGCGATAAGCTGCGCAGAGAAGGTGGCTGGTCTTACGAGATGAGCAAGGACTTGATTTGAGAATCGTCTTAGGTCCGGCGTTGTTACTTTTCTGCGGTTGGTTGACAGCTGTGTCGGATACACATGCGAACGTGCTCATGAGGATATCAGTAGACAAGTTTGAAGGGCCACTAAGGAGGTTTGAGGGAAGCATCGTGGACACTTGCAGAGAGCCCACACTGGAGTGAAGGAGTTGTTTTTTCTATTACGGGCGTTAGGCAGCATAAAGGCATAAGTCATGGCCGCAATAATTTTGAGCAGGATAGCAAAAACGCATGAACTCCTGAGCAGCATGATACTCCATACTCTGCCTACCTTGTGAGCTTCAAGCTGATATCAGAATCCTGGAGAGCCTGGGCGGTTGACGAGACTTGTGGGGGAAGTGTGCCCCCCATACCGAGGCCGGGATCGTGTCTAGGGTGGAGAGTGTGTTACGCTCGTCGGCAAGTACGCTCGTCGGCAAGGCAACCGGATTGCGCGCTTGGGCCATGCCAACCAGGTATGGCGCGCTCAACCTCAGTTAACGCGTTAGACCCCTGCAACTCTAAAATTCCAAAGTGACCTACTCGAGCTACCTGACTGACTGACTATTCACCTGTCTTGCCTGAGGAGTACAAGCGACACCATACTTGTCTTCTAACGGAAGCCACTGGCTTTGGACTCCCTCTCCCGCAGTTGATTTCGAAGATGGGTGCTGACGGCAGTGCCGAAAGCCGCAAGCGCACTCGAGCTACACCCGCAGCTCGAGAACCCGCGATTCCATGGTCGTTCAAAAGGCGAAAGCTGGACGCCAATGGCAATCCTCTCGCATCGTCCCCGACGACACCCAAAACCACACCCGGAGCTGCTTCATCGACCGTCAAGAAGACTGCGCGCAAGATAGGGTCGTCTCCCGCCTCCGCTTATGACGTATCGGACTCCCCTGAAGACAACCCGCCACAACGGATCCGAAATGTCAGGAGCGTCGACCGACCGACTGGCAAAGTCCCAATCCCACCCCGCCGCAACATAGAAGATGATATCTACGAGATACCTGGCTCCGATGATGAGCTACACTCGAGCCCGAAGGATGTGAATTCGCTCAAGACGAGTCCTACCAAGAGGAAGAGCATCGGTGCGGTCAATGGCGGGGCGAGCGAGGCTGATACAGGCATCATGGTCAAACAGCGCACATCTCGAAAGCAGGAAATGAAGATGAAGGACCACCGTAACAAAGAGGTTGCCACGATAGAGGAGTCCTCGCAGGTACGATCGAGTGGAAGACGTAGGATCCCAACCGCGAAAGTACTCGAAGTGCAGGAAGAGAAAATGGCAAGTCGTTCAGCCACCACAACGTCCCGCGTAAAGTCGTCTGCAGCAGCACAGGATGCCCTGGAATCGAAAAAGGCCACCACGAGAACGGATCGTATCATCTCTATGCCCCTGAAAGGCATCTTGACCCCGTCCAAGCGGGACGGTACGCCAAGGAGAAGCAAGAGCGTCGCCTTTGACTCGTCTAATGCTCAGGATACAGAGGAGGTTTTCTTCGAAGATCTTCCAATTAAGTCTGCGACCAAATCCGGCGGAGGTGGGAAGCCACCGCAGAAGCTTGCGAGTACGAAAACAACAGCGAAAAACCCCGTCAAGCCACGAAAAGCGCTTGCAAAGATGATCGAGGAAGGGCCGACGGCGGAGGAAACCGAGTCACAAGAAGAGGAACAGGCGGCTGCGGAGAAGTCAGACGAAGACGAGGACGAGGACGTCTGCCTGATATGCTCAAAACCGGACTCCAAGGCTGGAAACCAGATTATGTTTTGCGCTTGCAAAGATGATCGAGGAAGGGCCGACGGCGGAGGAAACCGAGTCACAAGAAGAGGAACAGGCGGCTGCGGAGAAGTCAGACGAAGACGAGGACGAGGACGTCTGCCTGATATGCTCAAAACCGGACTCCAAGGCTGGAAACCAGATTATGTTTTGCGATGGCTGCGATAAGGCCTACCACCAAAAGTGCTACAAAGTCCCTAAAGTTCCCCGTGGCGACTGGTACTGTAACGAGTGCCTTGACCAAAAACAATCGCGAGCGGCGGCTGCGGATGAGGCGGTCAAGATACCCAACTTCCAGCAGCACTTGAGTAAACTGAAAAGGGTGCTACTGGATCGTTGTACTGGGCGCAGACGAATCAAGCTGATTGACCAGGATGATGCCATGAAGAAAGCACACCAAGTGGTCGAGCAGACGGTATTATCGGGAGAAGGGAACTCGATGCTCATCATTGGCGCCAGGGGCTGTGGCAAGACTACAGTATGTTGCAAGATCACCAGGAACGAGACTGAGGCTAACGCGTAGCAGCTCGTTGAGAGTATCATCGACGACATGTCTCTTCAGCACAAGAGTGAGTTTCATGTGGTGAGGTTGAACGGATTCATTCACACAGACGACAAGCTGGCCCTCAAGGAGATCTGGCGGCAGTTGGGCAAGGAGATGGATGCCGAGGATGAGGTCAATGCCCGGGTGAGTGCCTCCCAGGGACCTGTTGATGCGGGCAACGCTGACCACCAACACTCGCAGTCAAATTACGCCGACACCATGGCCTCGCTGCTCGCGCTTCTCTCACACCCTTCAGAAATGGCCCAGGCGGAAGAGGGCGTGACGTCGCAGGCTGTCGTCTTTGTCGTTGACGAGTTTGACATGTTTGCCGCGCATCCCCGCCAGACCCTGCTCTATAATTTGTTCGACATTGCGCAGGCGCGGAAGGCCCCCATCGCAGTGCTGGGCTGCACAACCCGCATGGATGTTGTGGAGATGCTCGAGAAGCGTGTCAAGAGTCGATTCAGCCACCGCTACGTTTACCTGTCGCTCCCGAAGAGCTTGCCGGCGTACTGGAAAGTGTGCAGACAAGGCCTGGTCGTGGACGATGAGGATATGGAGGCCGAAGGCATCGACGTGAGTGTTGATGGGCACGAAGCTTTCCATGCCAACTGGAAGGCAATGATCGAGGTAGGTACCCGACGATGCTTGGACAGGCCCTCTCGACTGACTCGGCTGCAGAGCCTATACAAGGAGAAGTCATTCCAGAACCTCCTGCAGTATCACTACGCAACTTCAAAATCTGCCTCGGACTTCCTGGCAGAATGCATCGTTCCGCTATCATCCATGTCGGCGGATTCCTTGGAACTTGTCGTCCCGCCACAGACCGGCCCCGTCGTCTCACTCACGCCGCCAAACTCCAAGCTGCACATCCTGCCGTCGCTCTCGGAGCTGGACTTGGGTCTGCTCATCGCGGCGGCGCGGCTCGACATCGTGGCGCACACGGACACAGTCAATTTCGCGATGGCGTACGACGAGTACGGCTCGCTGATGGGCCGGCAGCGTGTGCAGTCTGCAAGCTCGGGCATGCTGGCGCTAGGCGGCGGCGTGCGGGTTTGGGGCCGCGGAGTCGCGGGGCTGGCGTGGGAGCGTCTCGTGGCGTTGGGGCTGCTGGTACCGGCTGGGCTTGGGACAGGCCGGGCTTCAGGGTACGGCGGGCTAGAGGGCAAGATGTGGAAGGTCGACATGGCGCTCGAGGAGATACCTGTCGGGGTGAAACTGAATAATGTGCTGGCGAGGTGGTGTAAGGAGATTTGAAGCAGCATGGCATCGGATTGTGCCGCGCTTCGACAAAACTGTAGACGCCACACCCAGACGAAGATAGACTCTGGGATTGTGACCAGACCCAGACCAGGAGTTAATGCCATTAGTAGGGCAGCCATCACTCCCCCACCGTGTCGTGTATCAGCTACAAGAGGCTACTACTACTACTATTACTACTACTACATGTGGGACTTATCGTAGCGGGCTTATATGCGAGTATGATATGGGAGGGTCGGAGCACTTTTAGTGACCTGAATACTAACCATTCGAGTCTCGTGCCTTGTATGTGAGTCTCGTGGGGCGTGGCTGGCAAAACGATGGAGAAGCGAGCGACGGGGCGCTGCTGATGAGGCGCGATGCGGCTTCGATCGTGCCGTTGCCATCGCCCAATGCGGAAGTATTGTACCTTGGTATATAAGACCCCACCCCACATAACGGGCCACCCATAGATAAGAAGACGATAAGAGATAAGTACATTAAGCTAACTATTTTTAGAAAATCAGAACTGAGGTCAAAAAGAATAAAAGTCTCTCTAATGTTTTTGATAAGACTAAAGTATAGTAAAAGAAATATAGTATAATTCTATATATACTCCTAGTAGCTATATATATATAGGTCCTTATCTAGAAAAGCAGATAAGATAGAATAGAGTTCTCTTAGTATATATTTAATATAAGACTTATATACTATATAATTAACTTATAAGAAGCTATACTAAAAATCCTACCTCTTTTAGACTTATAGTTGATTTTTAAAAAATAGCTAAACTTAAGAAACATCTATGAATTTAGTGTAGTATTTGCTTGGCCCGTTAATAGGGGTGGCCCGTTATGTGGGGTGGGGTCTTAGGTATCGACCTATGCAGGCTGGTTGCTCTCGTCTGAGACGTTGACCGCTTTCTGAGAGCAACAAAAAAAAAAAAAAAAAAGAAGAAGAAGAAGAATAAGGAGAAAAAAAAGAGAGAGTGAGAAAGAAAACCGCTGGTTCTGGTGCCGAAGCCAGTTCAGGAGAGTCCCAACGGAGTCTCCAAGATGTACTTGTCAGCACTCTATGCAGAAGAACCCTGGAGGTCCATGTCATGTCATGCCACTAGTCCAGGCTGCACAGCACACCCTCCCGGCAAATATACACACACGCACAGGTTGGGCTGCGATCCTTTCGGCCGGTATTCGGTGGCTGATGTTCAGGAGAATTTCCGATGGAGCGCCCAAGGGAAGGGGGGAATATGTTTTTGTCTTGAAACCGTTGATCTTCTAAATTCTCTCTATTTCCCTCTCTTCTGGCCCGCTCGCATAGACTGGGGACCGGGGGGCTGGTGAGAGGTCCGAGGGTTGGCGGCCGCCGGCATAGGAGAGAACACGAGCCTTGACGGTGTGCGGATGATGGTGGCGGCCGCTCGCAGGTAAATAAATCATACTCGTGGAGGCACATGCTTCAAAGGCCCTGCCGGCGCGCAGACCCGGGTCAACATGGCGGTGGTGGTTATGGATCGGAGGGGGGCCGACACACCGCATCATTGGAACAGGACACTGTCAGCAATTACTGAGGTACGTATCAAAGGTGGTCCCTCTCAAGGCCGCACGAGTAGACAGACGATGGCCCATAACCACAATATAGGTAGGTAAGCATCATGCCCGAACTCTGGATGCATACGAACCTAGACAGATGAGAGATTGTGATGCGTCAGGGACAAGCAAGCGTGTTCGGATCTTCGGCCTATCCGGTACCCCGGACATGACAAATATACCAGCATAGAAACAGCCCGCGGGGGCAGCAGCAGCAGCAGCAGCAGAGCAGACCCTGCAGTTCGGGAACTTTAGTTGGATCGCGGGGGTGTGGGCGTGGGTGATCGGCCCAATGACGAACGACTCCCAGCATCGGGTACAGTCGAGGGAGGGCCCCCCTTCCCCACCAGCTCGGCGGCGGCCGCCACGTTGCAGCCTTGATTCCGCACAAACGGGGATCTTGGCCTTGTAAGGGTATACCTACATGGTATACACCTCAGTGGTGTGATCAAGGCAAGGTACTCCGTACAGTCGGTCCCATCGCTGACTGACTGACCTGGGCTGGCCCATCGTGACTTTCCTGTCTCGTCTGTCTTTAGCCTCATCTGCTTGCCCCGTGGGTACGGATTGGATGGGGTGGGATAGCTCCGAGTTGCCTAGCCCTGCACTGAAAACCAAAACATGTCTGGCCGAGTTCGGGACCTAGCTTATGTCGACAGCCAATGAAAACAGGGTGTCGTGTTGAATTTTGGTTGTAACATCCGAGCCGACATGCGACGACCAGTAAGGCCGCCGGCGCAGCGACCGCCAGCAGCAGCAGCAGCAGCTTTGTGCAATGGCGGCGGCCGCCGCTCGTGTTTATCGGGATCAATTTCCATGCCAAACTAACCTAGCGTTTCCTTTTTCCCATACGTAGTTGGGAGGGCACCGCTACCTACTCTCGAGCATTTACAAAATGGGCTAGGGTCGGGTACTACTAGACGGCTTCCCGCTCCTTCCTCCCGCCGTCTCGCAGCTGTCTTTCCTCTTCTAATCCCGTCTCGATTAAACACAAAAATCAATTGCGTCACCTTTAGCCCGGCCTGTTCTTCTTCTTCTTCCCAGCGGGCGTATCCGACCTAGCCGCGCTCGCTGCATGCTCCCACCACCAGCGCGCTACGCCCTGCTGACTGTATCTCATCCGGGCCCACGGAAGCTTTTGCGCCTCCGTTTCCCGCCCTCCGTCTTCGGCTGGCTATGCCGACTGGACATGCAGCATACAAACGAAGACACAGCAAGACACCATCATCGACTCTTGATTGCTTGCACAGCCTGCGCCCTTTTCTTTTGCCTTGTTCTTTTTTTTTCTTCTCTTCCGAAGCCTCCTCTTATTTATTTTTCCGGTTCCATGTGGCAGATCTCCTTGATGATCGACACCACGTTGTAACAATCAGAAACCCCTTTCCTCAGGACCTAAGGACTCTTTTTCCGAGCCCCCCCCCCCCCGGTTCATCATCCCATATCTGTTTGGAGTCTCGTCCCGTCCCAACTTTAAATCAGATCGCCGACTGTCTTCTCTACTTGAACCTTGACAACCTTAAACCCACCTCACAGCTACGCACGCAACCAACCAGTCGCTCCTAGCCCGCCTCTCGCACATCGCATGGTTTACAACTACCCACACCCCTCCCCCATCACGCATCCATCATGTCGAAACGCTCAACCTTCACCACTATCACCCCCCTTCCAGCCGGTATCACCCGCGAGGCCGTCCTCAGCTTCCTCCACAACCATCTCGAGATGATCGACCTGAACCCCCTCATCAAGGAGCGCCACATCATACCCGCCCCCGCACACGCGCCACCCGAGGAGCACGCCTGCGTCTGGTACTCTCTCACGGATGAGATATCTTATCTACCCGGCGGCATGGTCACCGGCGACGTCAGCTACACATGCTGCTTCCACGACCTGCCCACCGGCCTGCAGACCCACTGCTATGCCCCGCTGGGCCTCGAGATCCGCGACAAGTGGACCGTCGCCGGTTGCCTTCCCGGCGAGCCCGTCGAGCCCGTCGAGCTCGGCCTTGGCGCCCCGCAGACCGGCCTATACATCCGCGAGGACGTCGACATGCGCTGCAACGTCTTCACCAGCTCCTTCGTCAAGAAGACGCTCAAGAAGAGCCACGCTCAGCTGGTCGACCGTATCACGTCCAAGGTCCGCCAGGCGTCCGCCGCGGCGCACCACCCGCATAGCAGCCAGTATCCCCCCTCTCTCCCCGGTTCTGCAAACAGCGCATCAGATACGTCGCCCCGCCAGTCCTATACCGACTCCTTGGCCAGCCAAAAGACCTCCCTGCCCTACAGGCCCTCGCATTCCCACTCTACGCCCGCGCCGGCTGTCGACGACGACACGAGCGCCGCCTACCCTGAACCCTTGCGGATCCGCCACGCCTCCGCAAACTCGATCTCATCTCGAGGGCCCCCACGGCCAGATTCCAGATCGCAGAGTGGTGGTAGCAACAACGGCAACAGCGGCGGGACTCTGCAGGGGCCGTTTGTCGCCGAGCTGGATTGAGCCGGGCTCTCCCTCTCTCTCTCTCTCTCTCTCTCTCTCTCTCTCTCTCTCTCTCTCTCTCTCTCTCTCTCTCTCTCTCTCTGTTTCCGTCCCTGCGTAAAATATGTATTCCATGGCGCTCGGTGTCTGAGCCTGGTGCCAATGTGTTTTGGTCAGAAGGGGGGGAGAAGAGAATGAAGAAAGGGAAAAAAAAAGTGTAGATACCCCATATCTTGCAATTCAATCAAGCGGTTTTTCACGACAATGGCCTTTTGAGACGGCGCTTCTTTCTCATCTGTCACACACCCGGCAACACGCAGGCCGGACACATATGTATGCGCCTCTGCGGCACAGCCTTTCCAGAAGCGGCAGGTAACGTTTGCGTGCCGGTGGTGGGTGCCCCCCCCCCCCCCCCCCCCGGGGGAGGCACGCAGATGACGTGAGGCGAAATATGTACGATGCCATCCGGTAGGCGCGGCTTGCGACCAGGTTATCGACCTGGTGGTGGCGTCCGTCCCCCCCTTTCCCGTCCGTTCCCATTGTCTCGGTGTTGGTACCCCAGCCGCCCCCCCTCGGCCCGACGCATATCGCCCTAGGAAAAGGGACCTTGCAGTCAATGCTGGGATATAAGAGAGGGAGAGCTAGGGCTCGACGAGGCGTCGGCTTGTACCACTCCGGCAGCCTTAGCACGCTCGGCAAGAGAAGAAAGAGAAAGAAAGGAAAAAATAACCAAGGACGAATGGCACTTTTGCGGGGTGGAGGGAGGGGGGGGGGGGGGCTCGGAGGCCTTTTTCTTTTCGTGTGACACACACACGCACACATCCACCAAACGGGATAAGTCTATTAAAAGGCTAGAAGAAGAAAAGAGGATACAGGTGTGGTGGGAAATGGCAATAGGCGCCCTTCCCTGGATTAGACATAGTGAAAGTGTGAAGAGCGACGACGATGCTGAAGGGATAGTGATATTGCAAAGAGGATAACAATGTTTGTGATGATAACGATACCTGGTTTCCGTTCCCCTCCGTTATCCCCCCCCCCCTCTCCCCCCAGAAACACAAGCAGAAAACACAAAACGGAAAACGAGAAAAGGGGGTAGTAGCCGCCCAAAGGAATCAAGTGCAGCAAGGCAAGGTTTCTTGACAAAAGAGATTTCATCCCCTCATCCACTGTGAGCGGAATCGCCCTTCCCCCAGTCTTTCACCCGGGTTCCAGCGAAAACCGCAATGGTTCTCTGGCTCTCTGTTGCTATCTCTCTCATCCCGTCCTGTCTCGTCCCTCGTGATCTCTCCTCCCTTCCGCCCCTCACTCGCCCTCCAGCGGGCAAACCTCGTCAATGGTCTCGCCTCTGGGCGTGTCGGGCGTTAGGCATTAACAGGGCATAAAGACATGACGGCGATGATCATTGGCGCTGGAAAACCGTGGAATAACAATAAAAATAAAAAGCATAGCGAGCAAAAAGGACGTATATGTTGATGCTGCGGTAAGTTCAGGACCCCTTCCCAAAGCTTTGTCGTTCTCGGTGAATCCCCCTCCCCCGTGGGAAGGGAGGTCGTTGGCACAGGCAACCCCGAGACCGAGGGATGCCAGACCCGCGCAAAGGAAGAGATGACGATTGAAGAAGCGAGAGAAAAGAAAAAAGAGGGGCCTGGGGATGGGAAAGGCGGAGCTAAAGGATGCAGAAGGCGCAGCAGACAGGTCTGGCTTCACTTCACCCTCGCTCTCCCTTCCCCGGATTCCCCGGCCCCCTCCCCTTTTATCGCTTCTCTGTGAGTCTCTCCCCGTCAACACGGAAGACCGGAGGCCAAGACCAGGACGGAGGTACTGGCCGAATCCACCACCCGAGTCGGGGGGAAGGGCTTTTCCCAGGTCTGAACGAAAGCTTCGGGCGTTCATATTGAGAAAGAGGGGCTCGCTTTACAGAGCGAAGGCGGCAACGACGCCAGCAACGAGTGCGATGACGGGGGCAGCGTGCTTCTCGGCGCCGGCGGTGACGACGACGGCCGCGGTGCCGCCGGGCCTCTGGCCGGGAGCCGTGGGCGTGGCACCCGGGTTTACAGGGGCTCCAACACCAGCGGTCTGGGCAGGTGGTTTGGGCATGACGTAGCTTGTGTACTGGGGGCCATCTGTGTATTGAGTGGTCTATATAGATCGGGCACGTTAATAGGGTTGCTTCTTCGCGTCTGTTCATCTTCCTCTTGCCTCTCCATCGGTAGGGTCTTGATGCCCGGACAGCATCACGGGGGCGGGGGACTCACATAGGTCTGCGTGCAGGGGCAGTCCGAGATGATGAGGGTGGTCGGCTTGTCGATGGTGTAGGTACGGTCGTTGAAGCACAGCGTCGTCGGCTCCGGGCAGTACGTCGACACGCTGTCCCACACCGTGGTGACGGTGTAGATTCCCGTTCCGTTGTAGCCCGGGGGGTAGACGCCGGAGGAAGGAAGGACAGCGACCGGGGCGGTGCCGGTGCCTGCGGCGGCAGCTGCGGCGGTGGCCACGAGGCCCATAGTTGCGAGGACGGAATGTGTCTGCATGATGCGCAATGTGGTTTTTGTTGCTTTATTTTCTATGCCTGCCAGGTTGTCAACGAATGGCCGGATGATCGATCCTGTGTCGAGATGAGACTCTTGAGCGGGAGTCGCGGGGGGTGTCGGGAGTGTCTGGGTGAGCCGAGATTTTTCTTTTCCTTCTCCGAGATTCGAGAGTCGAGAGCAGCCAGTAATAGTAGTAGTAGTAGGTAAAATATATTTCGACCAAAGGAAACGGGTGTTGCGCTCTGCGGTGTTTGGCTTGCGAATGTCGTTGTTTATAAGTGAGTGACTGGAGCTAGTGAGATGCAGAAAACAAAGAGGGGGAGACCCTTTCCCAACAAACGAAATATTTTTAGTCTTGTGAGAGTGTAAGAAGAGAGATGTGTATGTGTGCGTGTGTGTGTGATGAGCGGGAAGCAAAAGGCGGCGTCAACAAGAAGGCGATCCCGGAGGTCTCTCTTTATGTTCACCTGCCGTCATTACCAGCCCACCCCATATCAACAACCATCGATCCATCGATACACATCGACACCACAGGCACGGAGAAATCCCTGGGTTTGAATGCCAGCGGACGAGATGCGCAGCATAGTACATGCACAAGCAAAGAAGGGGATAAAAAAAGACATTGAAAAGGCCCGTGAGTCTGAGGACATTCTCGGATCAGCATGTTTTCCTTTTTGCTCATCAAGACGTCGGCATCCAATGATACTCCGGCTTCGCGGCCAGATATGCCAGCGTAGGGCCTTCCGGGCCCGTGTTTGTTGTGAACTGCCGGGGGTGGCCAAGAATGCATCCATTAGTTGCCGGTAATTGGGCGCATTCCCGGCGGCAGCCACCAAAAGCATGTGGCAAGAGCAGACAAGTAAAACAGGGGTCACCTCACCGGCTGCTGCACCTTCGAAAGCTCAAGACTTATTCGCACTTCATCATAATGGCATTCCCGGCACTGGCAAAGGCATGATGCCACTTTCATCTGTTTTCCTCTCATTCAGGGTTCAAGTTAGAAGGTCGAGCGTCTCCCCTTTCCCCACGCTAGGGTTCGGGAGCTCTGATGTATGTACAAATGAGTCAGGCCGCTCCCACGACCGCTCTCCTCCCTGTTTGTCCTTCCCCCTTCTTGTCCCTCTTAAAGCTAAGATAAGTCCTTCTTGTCGTGGTGCCTGCTGGGCACCCTCCCTTCCAGTATGCCAACGGGTAGCATAGCTGCCATTGTCATCCACCTCCTGACTACCAAAAATCTTTCTCCGTTCGCCATTGACTCGTCTCTGGTATCGTGGTCGAGACCTGCGCTGTATTGCCGTTCTTCTATGATCGTCCGCCCCGCCAGCCAGTGATGATTCAGACAAATGTCGGAAATTAAGAAAGGAAAATGAAGAAACATAAATCAAGTCCGCATGTGATGATGACAATAATGATGATGATGATGATGATGATGATAATGATAATGGTGATGGTGATGATGACGTGATCGTGTTCCGCGGGCTCGGTTTCGCCGCCTCATCGGGTCTCCCTCTAAGAATAATTCATCCCCAACGCCTTCGTTTTCAAAAAAGAAAAAAAAAAAGAAGAAAAAAAAGAATCCAGATGGCGACCAATATCGGCTTGAGCGGGGCCCTCTCCTCTGGTTAGAAAGTAAAAGATCCTCCCTGCCGCCTGGTAATGAATCAGAGACCACCATGTTATGCACAAGATTATGGGTCGAGGCAAGTGCCGTATGCCAACTCGAACTGCACGGCGTTCAAGGTATGTAATCGTCGTGTCGCGCGGTAAGAATTGGGTACGAGGTCCCGCCGTCTCTCATTTTGTTTGTTTCGAACTGCTTCATGCCGACCCTGCTCATTTGGGATTCGACCGGCTCGTGCTACGCTCTGGGCCGCGGCCGCCGCTCGTAACTGCGTCAAAGTCGTAATTCTTCAGGGTGTGCTCGTACTTGGGGCTCCTCAGGAATTTGGGGACCGAGTCCTGCAACAATTCGGGTTAGCTCACGGATCCGGCAACATTCCAACTGCGACAATGAAAGGGGTAAAACACGTACGCTCGCCATCAGTTTAAAGACTGCGTTTTGTGCGTCCTCGAACAGCGACATGACCTCTTGCAGAGTCTCAATCATGGCAACATCTTGGCCGACGGCTTTAGTCATTCGGGTGGCCAGATTGTTGCGGAGTTGGTGGTCAATGTTCAACTCGCAGGGAGACCCGGGGGCGAGGAATGCATTATAAATCCCGTATGCCTGCGCCATGATCTCCTTGATGCCGTCCAGCGAGCTCGCGTTGGGGTTCTTCTGGGCGGCCCTGATCGCCCCCCGGCAGCTTCGGACAAAATCATCCACGTCCAGGTAGAAGGACAGGTTCTCCTCGCAGTGCGTTTCTCTGAGGTTCTCCCTGAAGAGCAGGCGAAGGGCGGCGTCGGTCAGGATCTTGTCCAACCTCTGGGTATTGGAGTCCCGCGCGATGGCGCTACGGGACGGTACGACAGCCTCGCTCTCCGACGTCCTTCCTCTTGCTCCGAGACCATTAATCAGATCCTTGCCCTTCGCCGTCAGTTGGTAAATGGCATGCTTGGTGGGTTGGAACATGCTGTTGCTGGGGTACTGTGCCATGTGAGCACGGTCTTGCACCACGGGCTCAATCAAGTCGTACTCCACGAACAGCGCCGCGATGTCGTACGTCTCCCGCCTGTCTACGGTTGTGCAGCAGTCCATCAACCAATCGGTGGCGGCCTTGCCCGTGAAGGTATCCTTGTACGTCTTGCCGTTCACCTTGCGCTCGCTAGCCATCTTGACACCGGTGAGACCGTCCTTGTAGTCGCTCAGGGAATCGGAGTCGGCCGAGCTGACGCTGGACTTCACATTGGGGCCGTGTGTGCCAATGAACCTTCGGAAGATGACTTCAATCGTGCCGCGGTCGGTCATGAGCTTGTCCGTCTGGCTATCCCTCTCTAGTATGACGAGTTGCGACAACGTGGAGCCGACCAGCTCTGCTATCGACTTTTGCTGGATACCATTGCGGGAGCAGAAGCGATCCAGCACGGTAACGCCCTTGGTGGTCAATTGCCATACGGAACCCTTCATGTTGTACACCTGCTGGTACTTTCCGTCGGCGGACTCGATAAACCTTGCCTCGAGGAACTTCTGGCAAATGGAGCGGGCCATGTCCTTGGCCATGGAAAACGTCGTGGTCGTCGTGGTCGTCACTATTCTGGAGGGGTCTTTGGGGTCGGGCATACGGTTGGATTGGGAGAACTTGAGGGAGCCCAAGTTGTTGATCGCATCTTCGGACAGGAACGTGTTTTCCACGCGTGTTAACCGCACACGGTGTGCGGACAGGGGCAGGAGGCTGACAATGAGTGTTGAGAAAAGGTCTTTGAAGTCCTGTTCAGTTATACGGGTTAGCCATCATCTACGTGCAGTGCAGAGCAGGGGCGCGGGGCCGCGACAGGCTGCGGTCAGGAGGGGTGGGGGCGAGGGGCAGGCACAGGAACCGTCTCGAAAGTAGGTTCGGTTCGGCGAACAGCGTAGACTTGACGAGTTACTGACCTTGGTGAATGGCCGGTCATCGTCCGTCATGCGGAGAAGCCGCGAGGAAGTTTGGTGCATTTTGCTCTCTACGCTCGGCTGTCGGTAGGGGAGAGGCCAATTGGGATCGGTCTGGCTGTAGGGTTGAGAGGGTATATCCTGTACCAGCGATACCTGGCTTGGAGGCTTGCCCTCTAGTTGGTTGAGAGTGCTGCTCGAAGACGAATAGTTGGGGAGGCTCGTATAACGCGGGTGTTTGTCTGTCGAGCCAAGGCTGGCAGAGTAGTCGGAAGCAGAGTCGGGGGTGAGAGAGGCCCTGCCAAATGCGGAACTGGAGGCGCGCTGTCGGACTGATTGGTCCGAGGAAAACGCAGCAAATGCGGATTGGGTCTTGTCAATGGCAGCGGCAGCAAAACCGAAAAGACCGCCGGCGCGTTGCAACTTGTGCAAAGAACTGGTTGAGGAGGGCGAGTGGTGATGCGAGCGGTAATAAGGGCGGTTTACCGTGGATGCTGTGTGGTAGGGATCGGTCGGTGATGATGTAGCGCTGTTGGTGTTCCCGGAGGAAGAGGAGGTGGTGGTGGGAGTGCCAGGTTGAGGAGAAGCGCTGCCGGTTGTGTTATTGGTGGTGGTACTGGTGGTGGCAGCAGCCGTGGATTGCGGGTTTGCACTACTAGATGGGTTGGGGTTGGTTTTGTGTGCGGAAAGATCAGGTTCAGAGCTGGCCTCGGTTGACAGTGGCTCGTGTTTGGAAGGTCGGGATGTCTTGGAGACAGTGGCCATCTAATGAGGAAGGGAGGGTTAGAAGAAGCGCGAACGACAAGGCGGCTTGTTCAGATAAAAAGAAAGAAAAAAAAAGAGAAGAGAAAGCGGGTTTTTTGCTGAGGCAGGGTGTGTGCGTGGAGGAGAGGAGAATTAGGGACATGGGCAACGGATGGCGCGAATGGGGCGAGTGAAAGCGCGCGTGCGAGAGAGAGAGAGAGAGAGAAGGTACAACAGCGAGACGAAAGGATAGTACAGTATACTACCTAGGTAGAGTACACAGGTCTCAAGGGGTCGAAGTACACACATGTAGACGGTAGAACCCTGCAAGCAAAAAAAGGGTATCAAGGGGGGCAGAGGAGGGGAGGGGAGGGGATGAGATGGGCCTAGTCGGACTGGGGAGTGAGACTGGGAACGGGAGGGGAGTAGTAGGTAGGTAGGTAGGCACGTAGGTAGGTACTCCGTACACAGGACTTGGAAGACACGCCTAGGCGGGCGACACAACCCGGCAGTCAGTCAGGGCCAGCATGAGAGCAGGCTCCGGGCTGTCTAGCTGGTTCCTGGAGCCGAGGGTTGTCTGGTGAGGCCGGTACAAGGGGAAGCGGGATTCTGAGCATGAAATGAAGAGAGAACCAAGGAAAAAGGAAACGAGACGACGCGATGTACTGGGTAACGTAACGGTGCACAGGCAACGGGAAGGCCCGAGACAGAGGAGGGAAACGAGGCAGAATAGGGTAGAGGGAGGAGAAGGGGACATTGATGATACGATTACGGATATGACCGTCGAGCCGTGGGGGCGCTGCGACAGGTGAGAACGGTAAAGGGACGTAATACTGACTTGAAGCGACGGGATGTGGTGATGAAGCTTGCGTGTTTGGCCGGTTCCAGGCGTGACGTGACAGCCAAAGCTGTCTCTAGGGGGTGGAGGGAAGGGCCACGAATGGGCTTGAGATTGACCGGGGGGTATTCTTTTCCCTTTTCTTCCCCCTTCTCCCCTTCTCTCCTTATTATTCCCCTTTGAATTTCTTGATCTTCTTCGTAGTTCACGCTGCGCTTGGCGACGTGGAGTGTGAGAGACACACGGACCGACGTACGATGGCGGCAGTGATGTTGGGTGACGAGGGCGAGAACGAGGGCGCGGGCGCATATGTGGTGGACGGGGGGGTGGGGGGCGTAAGAAAGTGGCAGCGAACGTCGATGATGGGACGGGAATAAAGGGCGTACGTATGAGAACGGCAGACAGGCCCGGCGCGCAGGGTTGCAGGTTGAGATAGCAGAAACGAAGGCGCTGGTTCTGGTGCCGGGGATGGGTTTATTTTTACTTCTGTTCCTGTCACTTTGCCGTCTGGATCAAGGTAAAGGACGAGGAGTCGAAGCGACGGTGGAGGCTGAGAAGAGCGAAGCTTGAGACGAGGGGGGGGGGGGGGGGGGACTCTGGTCTCTAGGCTTGAGGTCTCTCTTTCGAACGTCGTTAGGGTGGATGGCAGAGATGGAAGAAAGGAAAAGCCCACGACGCTAAGACGGGTTCGGAACAGCCTGCTGAGTATTCAAATCATCTGCCCATACGAGACAGGAGCGGGCGTGTCTACTCTGCTCGATGATTCGAGTACAGAGAACCGGCTTGCGGCTCGTGGAAGGGGGCTTTCCCTTCACCCTCTTTAAAGTTCTTCTTTTCGAGCCGGGACAGACGGGATTGGGTGCGTGATGGTAGTTGGCTCTAACTCGGAATGGGCTGGGGTACGAGTGGGCAGAATGGCGTGGGAAAGGAGGCTAGGTATCCTGAGAAGCTAGACAAAAAGGAGGCAAGGCGACTGAACAGAGAAACAAGGAAGGGCGCGGCAAGCAGCACAATCTATTTTGGGGCGGAGAGGTAACCGTAGATGAAAGAGGTGGTTGGACTGTATGAGGAAGAGAAGGAGACGGAGACGGAGATGTCTCGAACATATTCAGCCTCCGTCCATCTTTCCAACATCACCTCATCTTTTCCCACTTCTTTTCCTTCCCTCTCAGTCGAAAATCGGCCGCCGTTGCGACTGCAGTTGCGGTGCTATTGCTGACGAGAGAGGCATGTCGTACCATGCAACGGTGAGGTACATAGTACAAGTGCCTACCTACTACATGCATGCATGCATGCACTAACCTAATGTACGGATACGCCTACGCAGCACATCCGTACAACCGGCTCTGCGAGCCACGAGCCACGAGGTGAATATGCATGGCTCTGTTCGGTTCCGCCTCCCAAGAAGCAAGGAAAGGAGGGAGGGGGCTGTAGGGTAAATGCTGGCTAGATGCTGCCGATGCGTCCCCTCTTTCGGTCTATGGTACACCGTAAGCTATATGCCAATCCTCCCGTATCCCGACAACCAGGCCCTTGATGGGGCTTCTTTTCTTATCCCATTTTCTTTCCGTCTTTTTTCTTCTTCTTTTTCTTTCTTATTCAGCCTGTCTTAAACCTCCTGCTGGATGCTGGTATGTCTGTACATCCAGCCTACGTAGGCAGCAAAAGGGATCTGCCACCTGCCGCTAGACCCCTGATCTGGTCCAGGCCCCGGTGGGGGAAAGAGAGACCCACTCTCTTAGGTAGGTACTCCTTCTCCAGTCTACGCTGGGAGAGACAGCCCATTGATTAAAGTGCAAAAGCGCTCACATCTAACCTCACAGCCCATCTCGTTCTCGCAGAACGGCCTGATGTACGTACCCATGTACTGGTATCCGTACTTGTGACCTCCACTCCCATCCCCTCCAGGCTCCAGCAACCTTGTCACTCTTCACATTTCTGCCATGTGCCTTGCCTGCCGCCCACACCCCTTTGCCTTACTGCGCAATTGCTTTGCCTGTTGCCATGAGGCATGCCTTCCCTTTCCACATTGCTTCTTCGCAATCACACCTCAACCACATTGCCTCCCACTAGGTAAGTGGTGTAGTGTACTCTAGATACCCCAGCACGCCTTACGCAGCATACGGTAAGGATCAGTGCACGCTGTGGCTTTTATTCTCTCGGTATCGTCAGAGAGCTAGGTACTGTACAACCCTGGCGCGGCATCTGTGTCTAACCCTTCAGCCCAAAAGGGGGCCAAAGGGGGAGGGGTTATCCCGTCTGCAAAACCCCATTCAACCAGCTTGCTCCTTGCGCATCCTATGAGACGGACAGACGGCGTGTTGTCAATGCGCGGATCCGCTTTCAGATTTTACTACAAAACTCTCTCTCTCTCCTTTTTTTTATTGTTTTTTTTTATTTAAAAGAGAAGTCTGGACCGTGGGCCATCGAGGGGGAAGGGGGATGAATCATTTTTGGGTACGGGGTCGGCCTGTCAGGTCCCCAAGGAGTCATCGTGAGGCGTTGTGAATTGACGACGTGGTAGGGATTCTTGTCTATCCCCCTCTCCTTCTCTTTCATCTGCATGCATGCTGTGTAGAAGGCTGCGGTGTGGGTAAAAGAAGGGGGGTACCATGGAGGTATATGATAAGTGAGAGGTGTTCCTCTCATCCTGCAGCTTTTCATCGCAAGCCGTTACGTACAGTGTGGGCACCACGCGTCGGATATGCCGATCGTCCCCAGCCTCTGTGCGTCCACTTATCGATCGACAAAGGACAAGCCGGAGGATATTCCATGCCGCGTCGTAGTGTAGTGCCCAAACAAGTACGGAGTACTCCGTACAACAACTAGGAAAAAAAAAGAAAAGACGATAAAACTGAAATCTGCAAGGAATAAGTTTTCAGGAAGGAGCTGGGCATGCATCAATCTGGGGCTCTGACAGGACAGGAAACCAACTTGCACACCCAACGCACCGGGGGGGCTATCGGCATGCATCCATCAGCAGTTGCCAACACGCCAAACACACTTGGGCGAGCCGACGTCAGCCGCCGCCATCATCTCGACGAGAACGGCAAACTTTGGCGGGCACCTGTTTTGACTCTCTTTCTCTCTCTCTCTCTCTCTCTCTCTCTCTCTTCTACTTTCTATTTTCTTAAACTCCTTCGTCCCCGCCGCTATGCCCCATAGAAACGGGAGCAAGTGATATGTCGTCGAGGCAAGAATGATGGTATCGGCACGGCTTACTCTTGTCTCAGCCAGAAGAGCGGAGAGAAGAGGACAAATCGCACAACGGATGGGGTTCATGTCCACCCTGGTCAATAGGGGGGTCTCGGCCAATTCAAGGATGCCATTCGATCTGATGGCATGGGCGGAACACCTCACCTGCCTTGTCATTTTCTCCGGTCGCATATAGTAATGCCTGCGCTCCCGTCATGCGCCGAGCCTGCCGACGGGCACAGCGGCGCCAGACGTTTAATGTTGATGCAACCTGCCAGCAGAGGCTCGTCAACTCGTCGTAACTCGCCAGTGACGGCGCGACGAGGGCACAGCACGCCCAGAGGTCAAGTGATGGGTGGGAGTATTCCCAAGTTCTACCAGGCGAGCCGTCGTGCCCACCGGTTCTCGCCATAGAGGTTTGTTGAAAGCTTAGTACCTTTGGCGGGGTTGGTCAAGGAACGGAGGCCGCTTGTACAAATAGAAGTCGCAAGGGTACTCATCTCAACTGCTCTGGTGCCAGATTGGGCTAGGCCTCCACCCTTCCAGGTAAGGCACTTTCGGGGCCACGACGGCAGAAGGGCCGGGGAATGAACTAAGGTTGAAATGCAATACGATCCCCCCGTATCGGGGAATAGAGGTCAGCTTGCCGACAATGGAGTGGATGACTGACTGGTGATGATGGGATCGGGTAGTGTGCTGCATCAGCTTGGTACAGGGACACCGCAGCAGGAGGCATGACGCGGAGAGAGGGTGTGCCGCGTGCGATATATCGGGTTGTCTGGCTAGAGCAAGGGTAGGCATGGCTCGGTTTGCTCTCTCCATCTGATATCATGTCCCCAAAAGAGTATTCCACTCTGCTGGACTGCAGGAACAGCGTCAAAGCATGGCGGGCAGGCCACCACTGCGCGTACGCCCGAAAGCTTGATCGGCAGCCCACGGTTCTGAACCATCGGGGAGGAAAAAGACTGTGGGGGTGCTCGTGACGGCA